GCACCCATTGCCGCTTACCCTTCTGGTAAGGTTTGGAAGGTTTGGACGTGTGCTCAATCGTCGACAGCTTTGCGCGCTCTCGTGGCTGGTCAAGGATTGAAACCGGAAGAGTACGCGCCGCATTCCGGCAGGATAGGGGGCGCGACTACCGTATATGACACAAGATAACACACCCCCTGGACCGATTTTCAAAGCTCGATTACTCCACGACGAAGAGGATGCATAAACGAAACAATACATTTTCGAAAACCTCTCGACGAGACGGTTCCAACGCCGCCGTTTTCGGCGCTGTGACTCTTCCTGCTGTTGAGAAATCGAGCTTTGAAATCGGCCCAGGGGGTGTGTTATCTTGTGTCATATACGGTAGGTTGCGGGCGATGGGGTTGTCTTCGTGGGCAATTCAACAGCAAGGGAGGTGGAAATCGGACGCGTTTCATTCATACTTGCGGGCCAATTTGGATGATGTTCAGAAGGCGTTCTTTGCGCTAGCGTCGGACGCTGTAGGGAAGGGGATCCAGCCCGGGCAAATGACGCGGTGGAAGGGTGCACGACCGAAGCCGAAGTAGCGTCTCGGGATTTATTTTCATGTTTATGTCATTTGGTCTGTTAGGAGGTTGTACTGTACGTGGTGCTCTATTTTTCTTTTTCGGAGTCTAAGCGGCGTGGTATTAGTCGCTCTTGATATGGGAGGCAACAATTTATGGTCATGGTGGATGATAAGGTGGGGATGGGGGGAGCGAGAGGGGGTCTGAAGGTGGAGGTTGGGGGGAGGGGGGGTTATGGTGAAGGGATGGAAGCAATCGGGGGTAGGGCGCAGACGTATGGGAAGGGAAAAAAGCAGGCTGTTAAATAAAGTGGGGTAGCGAGATGAGGTGTGACAGCCTGCCTAGGTTTTCGTCTGTGTGTGGTGTATGTATGAGGAACCCGGGCAAGATTTGGCGTGGGGTAAGCCCGGGTGACGTGATGAAGTCGTGGGGGCCCACGACTCAAAAATAATAATAACTCCAGATTCATGAGCATAACAAATCTTTTTTGGGTGATAACTAACCGACCGATTTCAAAATAAACAGCGGCAATCGATTCCTCTCTCCAGTATCATCTAGGTCGGTATGGCTGGGTTTTGTTGGGAAAAATCTGGTTTCCGAGATATTCCACATTTTGTTGTGCCGTCCCCATGGGGAGTTTTTTTATGGATGGGGCAACACGCACGCACACACAACACGCACACGTTGCGGCCCAAAACACGAAACACGCACGCAAGCACCATGGGGAAGCCTAGGGGACGGGCTAAGAAGAAGAAGTTCGGCAGCCGCGGAGCCGATGGTCGGGCGATTTCGAAGAAGCCGAAGCCGGCATTGCAACATGATCTTCCATCTCCCGGCGCTGATGACGCGCTCTCGGATGGCCACGACGGCGCATTTTTGATGGACGTGGCCGAGAACGCTGCGTCGTGATGTGTGTGTTTGTGTGTTTTTAAGTTCGTGGTAGCTTTGCCGGATTGTTGTGCGCCTTGTGCATGTTTCCGTTTCTTTCATATTGGCCTTCTACTTTTTTTCAGCACTCACTCCCTTACGATTGACTGCCCCCGAGTGTTTGTATAGGTTTATGTACATGTATAGAACCGACAATGTTCATATCTTGTTCCTTTTAACGTCCAACGGTGTTGTCGATCATGCGTCTGCGTGGTATCTGTACAAATGCTAGCATGTGGTGTTCGTAATGTAGAGCGTGAGGGGGGGCTTCGGGGGTACGGTCGGGGGTTCCGTGAAAGCACAGGGGGTGTATGTCGTGTTCAGGGGGTTCCGTGTATGATTTTTGTCAAAATTGTTGCATATCGTCAGAACAAAAAAACTCTGCAGCTATCGACGTATCTCGACGAGGCGGTCACGACCATCGTTGTTTCACGTTCCAATTCTTCAAAAAAAAAGTTATCGCACAAAACGTGAATGCACAAATTGTTGTGCACGGACCGTACTAGTCTAACACTTGACGGAGTCGATTCCCGTGGTCACAGGCTAACTTACCCAAAAAAAGGTATACGAAAATAAAATGGACCCGAAGGGTCCGCAAGCCAATAAAAGTCAACGACAGATAGTCTAGGCCACTCCGCTTGCCTCTCTGCACTCTATGCGAGGAAACCCTAGATTGGAAAAAGATAGAAAAAGATAGAAAAAGTAATAAGAACAAGAAAAAGAAAGAGAAAGAGAAAAAGTGCCTGCTGAAAATTAGCAAGAGTTTTGACTTGCCGTCAAGCAGTAGTGTATGGGGAGTATTGTGTGGACTGTACCCGGCCGGCGGCCTTTATTTTTCAAGTGTCCCTGGCTTGTCGGGATCTTTGTTCTATTATACTGTAAATGTCATGCAATGTCTGCTTACGGTGTCGTGGCCCGCTCCGCGGGCGCCCACGGATGACATGTTCACGGAAAATTCAGCAGTGACCTACGTGCGTCCATGAATGGTACGATGATGGCTCAACGAGCACGTGCTTCCGTGGACGCCCATGATTTCCCTTCCTTCCCACCAGAGTTCCGTGCACTGTGCATGGCCAGAAATCGGTAGGGCACCATGGACGCTCGTAGCACCACTGCGGACGTATCAGCGATATCCTCCTTGGTGGTAAGAGTGTTGTTTTCTTTCTCAACAACTGTCCGTGGAAAACGCCCCGACAGACTCGGCCGCCGCCATCTTGTCGCCATCCCGACAATCCTTGGAAAAGCGCTTGATCATCGACAATTAAGGTAGACAAACGTTGAAGTTTCTACAGGCCAGTAGTCATTGCTGAGTCACTTACGGCATGTCAACACCTATGTTGGTGGGTTGCGGCGGTCGTTCTCGGACGGTGTTTGCAACCCTATGTTTCCGCAGATGGCGAGCACAAGACCCCTCGGACGTCCTCTGGCGAGTTGGCGGGACATCTAAATGACTTGGTGGAAGCGTCAGCGAGAGACGCGGACAACCAAGTGAGACTCACCACGTTCCTAGTTCTGTCTCGTATTTTCACCGAGAGCAACGGCCTACGAATCCGATCGTTTCGTAAGTTGGGGGCTCTCTCGCCTCAACTCATGCTCGACGCGACCTTCCGTTTGCCTCCGAAGACCACCACGCCCACCCATGCTCTCGCCCCGAAGCGTTGTCCCTCCCGCGGCAAAGCCCTCTGCTCTTCTCGCCTCGCCAACACTACATTCTGTCTCAGCCCCTCCGAACGTAGCTCGTCGGCTTAATCTAGATCTCCATGGCTTGAGTCTCATGCAATGTTGACGGTAGCCCTTGCTGCAGAATGCCAACACCAACACGGCGCTGGCAGAACATCTTTTAAGCGTATTCGATCGCACCGACAATCCCCCACTTCTTCCACAGAATTTCGAAAGAAGTTCGCTCTGCACGCGCAAGGAAACGTTGAACCCGCAACCCTATCTTTTGTTCTCGAGGTGGCCAACGTCGTGTTCGTGAAAACACACAAGACTGGGTCTACTACTCTCGCGGCTGTTTTCTACCGCTACGCGGTGCGACACAAACTTAGGGTGAGCGAAGTTGGCGTCGCTGCTGTTCTCCCCGCCATTGCCTCACCCGGAGCGAGAGTTTGATGTTGTTCGTTTTGCGCTTGTTCGACGGACAACGGCGAGCATGGGTGCATCTCTGGTACTGTGCCCCCACCTGAAACGAATGGCGGGATATCTACTCTCCGAGGCAAACTCGGTGTTCCTTTCCAGCTCCGAGATACATGTGGCATCTATTGAGAAGAAACATGGACTTGTTTAAAAGTCGAGATCGTGCAGTACTGCGGTGTCCAGGGCATTGGGACATGTTCAGCACTGCGCAAGTAGGCAATGGTCACCAATCCCTCACGCATTCGCTTTGGAGATATTTATTTCTCAGGGTGAAACCTCGTGCACAGCGAAGCACCATCTACCGTGATGCTGATGTCGCTTTTCGCATCACAGTTTCGTCTTAGTTGGATCTTCCGACGTACTGTTCCTCTCCCACACAAGTACGCAGGGAAGGCATATTTCCGGAGATTTTTCGTATTGTGCAACCGCAAGGTTTCTCGTCTGCGCCGCCCTGCGTCAAAGCTGACCCAACGCTTGTTGGCGACAAAGTACTCTCGAAGGCTCTCGCGCGGTCAACTCGAATCCCAGTTGTCTTGGTCGTCCACAAAACTTTGGAGGTGTCTGGACCCAACAGCGGACGTTCTTTGGCCCCCGTTTGCCGCCAGTCTGATCCATCTCATCGGCAACGCCCCAACGCTTCGCACATCATCTTGGTCTTTTTCACTGAAGTTTCACGGCCGTTCATAGCTTGAGACACGCCCTTACACGCCCTTCGTCGTTTCTCGGGACCTTTCATTTGTCTGTGACGGCACCGATGGTCCCCATTCTTAACGGTCCTCTTGGCGCTTGCCGGGCGCGTAGCTGGCGCACTTCGGAAAGGGAAAAGGGACAATCGCCAACCTCAAGAAGGCAGCCACTCAGGTTCGGGTTCAAGGCCATGCCGCTTCCGACCCGAAGCAAGCATCTCGGTCATGACGTTTGGTGTTCGTGCATGCTGTACGCTCCGATATGGCACGGTACAAGTTGGTCTTCACGTTTTTAAAGCTGTTATAGACGAGTTCTCAGTCCATGACAATGTCTGTTTCTCCCAGGGTCAGCTCACTCTGCCGCGTCGGTGTGCAACCAACGTGAAGTGGATCGACGCCCTTCATCAAGTCGACATCGACCACTTAGCGGCTACAATACTTGGGCGTTGTATGTATTCAGAACTCGCCGAAATATAAGAACCTGGAGGTGAAGAACGGGAGACCTACAACGATAGAGTCTCGACCAATCAAAACAGTTGCTCAGTTAAGGTTTCACATGCTACTAGGATATCCGGTAGAATTAACAAAAAGCGAGATTCGGAAAAAAAGTAACGAGGTTTTCGTATTTGTGGCGCGTTCTGCTCGCACTTTGCTCTTCTTGACCGGTCCCAATCAGACCAGGAAGAGCGGAGAACGCGTAGACGTCATGCACTACCACATCTCCCACAGCGGTGAGTACACGGGCACATGGCCACAAGCGGAGAACTACTTCCGGAGGATCATGCGGCATCCAGACAGCATCAACTTCGTGACGGTTTTGCGGGAACCTCGATCACATCTTCTCAGGTACATGCCTATTTCTGACACGGTACTGCGCACTATGTAATTAAATTTCCCACTGGTTTGAAGTTCCAGGGGATTCGCCGTCGCTCGAGGAACGGACGATGTGGGATCCATCACCCCACAAAGCGTGCGAGACCTGCGATGTAGTCCTTTGCCTGTTTGTACCGTGCACGAAAAAATCGACAGCCCGTCGGCATGATAGCTTGGAAAAACACTTGTTGACCCGCACACCCACACCCCATTGTACCCCCCCGTAGGATCGACAAAACAACAATTTCGATGGTACTTTCGTCGGCAAAACAACAAACTGAGAAAAAAAATACACTTCTCTTCTTCACTGGCCCCGTCCACCTATCCTGCTCACCGATAAGCATCGCGTGTAGCTGCTGCTGCATACAACCGGGTTGCACCGCGGACAACACAAAGCTCGCAGTGTTGAGCGCACGCGCAAGGAGGAGGGGGGGGGACACAACCCGTTGTATCTCCGCGCACCCCCCCCCCCCCCTTCATGTGTTGGGGTATGGGGGCAGTAATCTACGCCTCTCTCTGACAGTTCCAAGTTGAACCTGCAAGTGTATGGGCCTAGAAAACACTTGTCGGGAGAAGCCGGGATAGGGGGACCTTGAGTGAAGACGAAGACAGAGTCCAAGGTTGCGACCAAGGGGTTGCGATCATGTCCAATGTGAAAAAAATGAAATCGTCCGCGACAGACGTGGGAGATTGTAACCTCCATGAACGGGATCTCGACGTTACCTCCCCCTATTTTTAGTCTCCTTGGTTGCTAGGCAAGAAGGCTTCCAAGGGCACCAGGAACCCGACCGGGTAGGCGATGGGAGATAGTGCCCTTTTTGAAGCGGATCTCCACAACTACAATACCCGAATATCAACGAACGAAAAACACATGCGGGGCAACAGGTACACTTTCGTCCCCTTTTGTCGGCCTAGGGACACTCCCATCAAATCCACGACCTCCTCTTCCGTCATCTTGTGGCGAAAGGCTTGCATTTTCTTGGGGCCCTCGTCTTGGTAGTACCATCGATCGGCAGGGTCGTGACTTTGTGACGTGTGTGACCCTTCATCTCGTCCCTATCCCACGTCCCCCCTCTTACGCCCTTTGCAACGTGCGATGTCAACCGGGTTTGCCAACGCCAACGGTGTTGGTCGCTGATGACTCCTCACCAGCTGCTACTATTTCTACATATTTCCGGAATGCGAGGTAAAACACTACCCTTCATTTATATAAAGTGTTCAGGCTGGCATGCTTCGACGCCGGAGTTTGGTTTGTTCTGCAACGTGCTTGAGCTGGCATCTTCTCGCACTTAGTTGAGCTGACATCTTCTCGCACTTAGGTGTCAGTCGCTCGGCGTTTAAGACGCGAGGATCCTACATGCCTGCCCTTCCTTGCTAATTCGTCACCTATGGTGCGTTGACTTGGAAATCGGCAGCGATGACCAAGATCTCCGCCGACACCAAGGGGGCGGGGGGGAGGGGGGATCTGATATTCCGGCCTGTTTCCAAATTGGCAAACACCTTGAACCAGGACCTTGATCAACCTATACCTTGCAATAGCTTGGCGCATAGTTCCACTTTGGTCCAAGGGTCCATATGCCGTGTTTTCTAACATACTAGGACCATTCTTTACCACTGCGTTAGCTATCCATCGAGGACTACTTGATGGACCCGGCCCACGCCGGAGACGAGAACCGGCACCGCCTGCGCAACCCTCTGTCAGCCGAGTTCGGCGTGAAGACGACAAAAGAGATGAACACCTTCATCGAAAACCATCTCCCAGACTTTAAGCTGGTGAGCTCATCCCAGGCTGGCCGGCGTCGCGGCTTTCCCCCCCGGCGAGCAATGACATAGCCCACCGGAGGTTGTGTCTTGTCTTTTGCTAGCCCTCCAAACCGGTTGGAAATTCTCGGCACTAGGTACGATAGAAAAGCAGCCGCTAAGGTGCGCTCAGAATAGGTTGGCCCGCACCCGCCAACAATCGACGGTCGCGTTTCGCTAGAGCATCTACGATGGGTGTGACCGCTTTGGTTCGAGACCACAACCAATCGGTTTGCCGATGTTGCTCAGTCAGAATTTGTCTATGTTTTCGCGAAGCTACACACCGATTCGGAGCCTGCGTCCTGGCACGAACCCCGCGAAATGTAGGTGGCTCGGTTCAAGGAAATCCGGTCGGTGAAGATCATCACCAACAATGCATGCTTTTGACAGTACCAGAGCTCGGCTTTCCCTTACTCCAAATCCCCAAATGACTTGCTTGCGCAGGTCATGCTGACAGAGCGAATGGACGAGAGCCTGATGATTCTGCGAAGCCTGCTCGGCTGGCACATGATTGACGTTACCTACGCCTCCCTCAAGGCGCGACAAGGGCGGGTGCGAGACGTTACGACGGCAAGCCGTTGATCGATCGCCCCGACTTCTGCCACTTTTCCGAGGAGGTGCGGTTGTCAAGGGACCTTCCTGTGTGTTTGTTTTTCCTTGTCCATTTGACGTGCATGGGGTCGATTTATTCCCTGTTGACGTTGCGCAACGTGTTCACGAAGCTTGTGTGTTTCAAAAGCTGCGCAGCCAAGGACTTCGTGTACCATGCATGGTCTACGTGCAACAGTAGTGTCGTTGGCACACATCTTCGAAACGACAGACCAACATATCAAACTAATTTTCCGAGGTGGACTACGGTGGTACCGCGAAACGACGAGGTATGTATGTCAGCGACCCGGCCGAGCACACGCGGGCAGAGGCCAGAGGGTTTCACCTACAGGTGCACTATTATTCATGGCCCTGGGCCTTCTTGTACAAGTTTTGATGCCACTTCTTGTGCTAGTCGCAAGCGACGTGTGGTGGGGGATGGTCGCCGGCAACTCCACCTGTTTCTGTTCATCTGCCGGCGAAATATATGCTCCTCCGATGCCCATCGTTTCAACAGTAACCTTCATTTTGGCGACAGGTGACGCCTCTAGACTGTAAACTCGCTCCATTTGATGCTGAAAACGGGGGCTCTTTGATGGTTCTTTCATAGGTGCAAGCCAGGATCGACGAACTGACCATCCTGGACCAAGCCCTCTATGACGCGGGCAAAAAAGAATTCGAAAAGGTACAGTGATTCCCAGGTTGTTTCCAATTCACTTCAAGCAGGTTTTTACGGTTCTGATATTAACGCGTGGATCGCGAAGGTCGTGCTCAAATAGGTTCTGATTTTCCTTGACGTGCGAAACCTTTACTCCATTCGTGTCCATCCCGTCTCGCAGCGGTTGTCGAGCATGTCCACTTCAATTCAAGCCGACCTGGCCGGCTTCCAAGCACTGCAAGACAACGTTTGCACTTACCTGGAAGGGAACTCATCGGTCTCGGCCCGTGAGATGTAAGTGGGCCAATAGGGGAACCAGTAGTACCACACGTTCTACAGATATATATATATATATCATGTGTCCTGATGCAGTCTTGTCTCTAGCTGGTATCAAGAGGTTAAACCCCAGAGAAAGTATTCATGCGGCGGAATGGGTGTCGCCTGCAGGAAACAACGTAGCGCAAACTGCGTGAGATGCGGACCGGTTTGACAACGTGGCCGTCCGCATGTGCTCTGGCGGTGGCTGTCTGCCCGATGTTTTTTTCGCTGTTTTCCCCAGGTATCGAAGCATGGACGCGGTCTACACCGACCCCCCCCCCGCGTATCCTTTCTGACGGACGGAGTGCTCTCCTAAGGAGCATGTGTATCTTCCCGAAACGCGATGACGTTTTCGAATCAACAAGTCGGAGTAATCCGTTTAGTGGGTGATTATGGTTGGTTGTGGAATGGAAAGCACACGCGAGCATGACAACGCGTCCAGTCACACAGGAAACTGTTGTGCTGGTTGTCTCTGTACACGTGCGCGTTAGGTTCGGCGTAGGACAGATGGGCAGTGTGCATAATGCACCATTGGCCATTTTTCCGCACCATAGTACACTATTTCCTTCCACGTACTGCAGGACACGACACACGAAAAACTTGAAGTTCTTCAGTAGGGAAGGGGAGGAAGTTGTATTTGTTGTTCACTTTCCTTGAGTTGGAGGTTTCGAGCAAACAAACCCGCGGGACTTTAGGCGGCATCCCATCGCCCACATTGATTATTACCATACCTCGCGAAGTTTGAACTCGACTGGTGCCTCTGGCGGTAGAATTGGCTATGCCGGTGTTTGACTATCTGTACTTTAAACAGACACGACCTTCTGCTTCCCGTTTTCAGCGAGATGGACCTACTGCTGCTGCAGGTCTTACCAAGTGAAGACCGATTCACTCCCTTCAAGACTGAGGTGGCAATGGTCCTTAATTTTCTCTCTCAAGCCACATCCACTTGGAACAGAAATCTCAGCAGCTAATCGCACCCATCTCGGCAAAAGGATCTGTTTGCAACAGACGAATTCATCTGCTTCTTGGATTACTATTCTTCTATTTTTCTAAGCCCGCCAGAGGCTGAATTGTCGTATTTTGTATTGGTCCGCCGGTTGGCACGGTAGACGCCGTTGAAAGAAACACACAATTTGTAACGGCGGCGCCTACTCTAGTGGCACGCCTTTCGCATGGCTATGATCCCGCCGCAGTTTTCCTATTGCTGTTGCACACACCGTCATCATCCCCCCCCTCTTCCCTACCTTCAAACCCCCTTCCGGCAAGGCTCCGAAGGTAAGCCACCTGCTGTAGCTTTGTTTGGTAAGTTTCTTGTTATTCATACATACATGTGTACGTCTTGGTTTGTCCGCAGTGCGCCGCCTGAGAGGTATGTACCTGTTGTTTCTTCTTGACACTTGAAGTACTAAAGTTTTATTCGAGTATGGTATTGCATTGCATGCGGGGTGTGGATTCAGGCGTCCAGAACATGACGGTAGGCACTACGGATGCGTTCATAGCATGCCCGGCAGATCGTCACCCTTGCGTCATAACCCCCCATCCTCCGGAGGTCTGCATGCATGCATGTTTCTTGGTTTCGAAGAGCATGATCTCGCATCGGAAGTACATCACAAAGTGGAAGATGGCAAACCGAGGGTGACTACACTAGTCTAAGCACCGTACGTACAGTATCGCCTTCTTTCGGGATCTTCCGACTCAACAAATAACCCATCCATTAGATGCAGCTACTGTATACTTACTTCAAATGTAGTCAAAAATAGACTCTTGTATAAATTTCTGTGCCGTTTTCATCACCCCAGTTGTTTGGAAGACAATAGCTCACAGATTCTACCTACGGCAAGGTCTTGCCTTTCTAACTGAAGAGATCCCATCCAGGGTCACACGGAGTACGTCTGCTGCGGTGATGTGTTGTTCGGTTACTGCACCTGCCGTTCGTTACCGTCAAATGTCGCGGCTATACTGTAGTACAACTCCATACAGCAGCACCACTCCCTAAAGCGTTGTAGCATGAGACGACGAAAAATCATAGATCCGAGTGAGGTATTATGTACAAGTAAGCCGCGCTAGAAAATCGATTCGAGGTCATTAGGTCAGGGCCATCGGGGCGATCCGCTTGTTGTTGTGGATGAGATACTGATGTCCCACGATATCACGAGATCACGATATCACACGATATCACGATGAATCACAAAGGTTTTCGTTCCGTTTCGGAGGCGAACAACAGTTGCGCCGCATACGGTACGTACGTACGGTAGTTCGTCTAGCGGGCAGCTCGGCAGCTTGCAGGTGCATCGATCTACTGCTGTAGGCATCTCCAGTATCTACTCAGGGCGGCTCTCTGGTACTTGCACGCGCTACTGACGCCCCGCACAACAAGCCACGTGTGAAAAAGGTATGCTCGCTTCGGATGCCTGGTGACTGCTTTTTCGAAGATGTGCTGGGAATTTCGTTTGTGAAGATCCAAGGAGAACCGGTAGAAAATCTTTGCGGCTCTCGGCGGGACACTCTTAAAGTAGGATTGTCTACTCCTGCTGTACCTCGGACTAGTAAAGGCTGTACTCTTCACAGTCCGTGCTTCCAAGAAGACCCCACGCCTAAGAAGGAGTACTCATCATCGGAGACACGGGCCTTCACACTACTGTACTGTATATCAGGAGGGCCAATGTCCGTTAGTTGCCACCAAGACTCTGTCGCGAAAGTATGTCACGGATAGCCGATGCTTTGTGACTACAGCTTTTAAAACGTATGGAGCAAATTTGGCACTTCGTTGGCTTCCCGCTGCACCCTGCCCACAACAAGTGCTTAGGCGAACAGCATACCAGTCACCTGCGCAGTCGATCCGCCGAGAATTTTCTATGTAGCTACAATGCATCCCATTTCGACAGGTCTACCGCACGAGGTTGCCTTGGCATGGGCGGGTAAACGCCCCTCCACACCGCAATACACCGATCGAGACATCCACTCAAAGTTCAGAACATGACGCCGATGTGCTCAAACTCGGACCCGTCGCGTAGAGGGAGAAAAATACATCAACAATACTCCTTGACATCCGTACACATTCAATGTGGTGGCGGGCACAGACCGTATCACAACCCGGAGACTCACAAGAAACGACGTATAGTCTACAGCAGTGTAGGTTGGATTCATGAAAAAACGGATTTCATGCTTTCGAACACTACTTCTGTACCTTGAAGCTCGCCGATGCATTTTCCCAACCAAATGGCATTAACACCGGGATCGGTGTTCGCCCAGACTTTCACCCATTGTATATGCATTTCCTGAGACAGCACGATGGATCAGCTCCCGGGGCGCTGACGACTCCCGCACCGCCAACAGATTACCAAGTTCGGGACCGTTGGATGCTGAGGCACTCAAGTAGCTAGTCCACCTACAACTTGCCATCAAGTGAGCGGGCATCGGATCAAACATTTCACTGATACAGCACGAGGGGAAAGAACGACGGATGAGGGAATGGGCGTTCTGCGAGACGCTACACTCAAGCTTAATTCGGTCGTCTCCCCGTCGCTCCCTGTTAAATGATGTGGCCCTTGAAATACAAAAACGTATAACAGCGCATGTGTTGCGGCCGTGGAGGGATGGGGGATGTCAGCTCGCCATGAAACACGCACTGTTGATTAATTCTTCCCGTAGTTGTACTAGCTCTTTGACAGTGGCCAACCCACCCGTGCTACGCGTCACGAAACACGAGCATGCGCTTGCACTGCTCCGAAGCATCAACCGGAGGACTATGCAGCGAACGAATGCACTGTAAGATTTGCAACTCTCTAGTTGTTGTTTCGGATCATCCCACCTGTTTCTTTTCCATTTTGCACGTGTCGGGCTGCGCGTGCGTTCAACCCTAACGTCTCCTCTTAATCACGTTGGTGCAATAGTGTACGAGTGAGGCAGGGCAAGGAGTAACGTCCAAAGCTTCGAAGCAACGCCTAGAGCAGGCAACGTGCGAATGCAAGGCGGCCTGCCTAAAAGCCATCTCGTGAAAGGGAACGGCACCAGGTGT